GCTGCTGGAGCGCAGCCGAGAGGGAGAGGCAGGGGCTCCCCGCCGCGGCGGGACGCACTGCATGTGCCCAGGGCGGGCCGGGGAGCGGGAGGCTCCGCGGGGCCAGGGAAAGCCCCGGCTCCCGCCCGCTGCCCAGCCCGGAGCCCCGGAGAGCTGCTCGGGAGACCGGCCGCCGCTGCGGCTTGGCTGTGCCAGCCCCGGCCCCTGCATGCCTGCGCCGCCCCCGGCTCCCATGCACTGCCACTGCCCCGCGCCCAGCCCCGGGCTCGGAGGCTCCTGCAGCCGCTTCCAGGGGAGAGACAGCTTTGCCCCCGCCCGGTCCCGCTATGGGGTTCTGCCTCCTTGCACCCATCCAGCCTGTGCCCTGCCCGCTGGAGCTGTACCCCCTCACCCACCCGGACTCCTGTGCATCCCAGCCTCCTCTTGGTCCCCCTGATGCCCTCTTTATCCCCGGCCCCCTCTGCATTGGAGCCACCTTTTGCCCTGGGGTGTGCAGTGTGCGCTGCTGCGGCGCTATGTATGATCCGGCAGCGCGGCGGGGCCTGCTAATTCCCCCCGCTCCTGTGAAACTCCTGTTTTTGTTTTTTGTTTTTTGCTCCGCCCCCCGCGTCCCAATATTTCATCTCTGTGATCTGGTCACCCTAGCTGCAGCCTGTTGGCCCCGGAGCTGCAGCTGCTTCGGAGGCTGCGGGGAGAGCAGCGTGACCAGAAGTGGAGAGACTCTGGCCCTGCCTCTTCCCTTCTGGCTGTGCCGCCTCTCCTTGCTCCCTCTGTTGGGGGGAGGGGCTGTGTCCCACCTCTCCCTCTCTATATATACATGCTGTGGCCACGCCACCGGTCTGGCCTGCCGGAGCAGGCTGCGGCCGCTCTGCCCAGCCTGCCAGAGCAGCTCCAGCCAGGCCAGAGACATCCTCCCCTGGTCCTCACCAGATAAGGTGGGAAGGGATGGGATGGGGAGAGTGGGGGGGGTCCTGGGCTAGGGGTGGGGTCATTTGGGGGGAGAGAGAGCTCAGTGGTTTGAGCATTGGCCTGCTAAACCTAGGGTTGTGAGTTCAATCCTTGAGGGGGCCATTTAGGGATCTGGGGCAAAAATCTGGGGATTGGTCCTGCTTTGAGCAGGGGGTTGGACTAGATGACCTCCTGAGGTCCCTTCCAATCCTGATATTCTATGTGGGGGGGGTGTCACAGGGGTTACTCCCCTGACTCCTAGTCCCCCCCCCCCCAAATTTCCCTACCAGTTGCTGTCCCGGCCCATCAGGGTAAGCAGCTGGCACACGGGGCCACTTTGTTTGCTTAGGTTTACCTCCATGCCTGCGGATGCTCGAGGTAAACAAACCGTCTCGGTTCACCAGCGGCTTATCCTGGGAGCCAAAGTTTGCTGACCCCTGAATTATAGGGTTGGCTTAAGAACGGGTTATAAAAAATTTCCATTTTTATTTATCCATCGGTGGGGGTGGGGGAGGGGGTTGGCTTATAAACGAACCAGCTTATGATTGAGTATATATGGTACTTAACACAAATTTTAAAGAAACATTTCAGTTAAACCATTTTGTATCTTTGTGCTTATTTATGTACACTTTATTTCAGAGATACTCTATTGAACATGAGTAGTGATCATCAGTTGGGAAGCCCTCTGTCCGGTGTAAAGATTCTAGATGTTGGCTGTGGTGGTGGATTGTTAAGTGAAGTAAGAAACACAGTTTGTTGTTCCTGCCTCTCTAGCTAAGGAGCATATGAAGACTTTGAAAGGTGTTACGATTTGTTTATTTAACTCCTAAATCTCAAATGAGGAGGAGCCGCTCCAGGCCCTTTTCTGCAATATTGGTACATTGATAAATGCATGTTTTGGAGTGCAGTAAATTCTACAAACCACATTTGTATTTAGGTTAAAAAAAGTACATGCAATGTTTTGTTATAAACAACTGAGCTTCATCAAGAAAAGAGAAACTATAGGAAGAGGTGCTAAAACCTTAAGGTTAACCAACAAACAGATTATTCAAATATTGTCACAAACAGCAAAATAGCATCGGTCCTTTCTAGCATTCCTTTGGAAAATCATTGCAAACTAACTTGTGTGTGTGGGGGGGTTAGTAAAAGATCACTTTTTATCATGACCACTCTTGTTAATGAAGTAACATGTTTTCCATTATAACCTATTTTCACATGCGTGATGCTTTTGAAACCGTCATCTTTTGGGCTTAAATTTTCCATATTGGTCGAAGTTCTCATCTCTGACCTTGCCCCTTGACACCACCTAATAGTACTGAGGCTGTACAAAGGGGCCCCAAAAGACCCGTATCTGGCATAAGGAGGATTCCTATGATGCAGGGGGCAGTTGTAAGGATGCCTCATGAGGACCCCCTCACTAGCCTGGGGAAAGGGGGCGTTTTGAGAGCATAGGTGCTGGAACTAGGGGTGCTGCCGCACCCCCTGGCTTGAAATGGTTTCCATTATATACAAGGTTTACAGTTTGGCTCAATGGCTCTCAGCACCCCCAGTATAAAAATTGTTCCAGCACCCCAGGTTGAGGGTGGGAGTGTAACAACAGCGCTGTGACCCATAGGGCTGCTCTAACTTAGACTGGCCTCCAAGATTGTCTAAGTTACGCTGGGGACCTCTCTAGCCCCCAGAGCAGCCCAAGATTTTTTGAAGCTTTTATGTTCAGAGGTGTATCACAGACACTCACCCTGGCTCTGTGCACAAAGGTGGGTCTGTCCCTTCCCCCCATTTCTGGTAGCTAGAGGTAAATCCTTTTTAACCGCGAGAGAATGAAAAATGTGTATCTTTGCCCTGTTATAAAACAGTTCCTCCGTCACCTCCCGTCCCCCAAATACGTGAGCCAGCTAGAGCAAAAACTACTGAAGTGGAACCTTGGTATGGCCTTAATTCTCATTGACGATAGTACTTTTGTTTTTTGAAAAATAAAACAAATGGTTTCTATTTAATAAAATTATGACTGCTTGAATATTGTACATGAGCATTAAAAATTTTTGCAGGTGTTTGCTTAAGGGTGGATATACTGTGCATATGTGTCCATCTAGTTAAGTTCTCACTGTCTGGTTCAAAGTACTTACAAGCTCCACACACTGAATGACTATGGATGAGTAGCTCTCTCACTCTGCTGGTAAAGCCAGTGGAGCTTGTAACTTTCACAAGTTTACTAACTAGTGAATTTAGAGCTCCAATAACATAAAGTTGGTTGTGTTACACAGAGTATTCCAGTTTCAAAAGAGACATCAACCTCTGAGGAAAAAACACACTTAAAATATTTCAGTGACAGTCAAGACTGGTACTTTCCTAGTAAACATCCGAATATTCAACTTTCAGCATTGAGCAGGTATCTTAGATAATCATGTATAGAGTAACCATTAAAAAGACATGTGGATTCACCATTTCAGTAAGGAGTGATCATAAGTATAGGATAAAAAACTCAGTGGAGAAAAACAGTGTCTCTGTGATAGTTGCAGTGGACAAAATCTGCACTCATGTGGCAAAGTGGACAAAGAACAATTGTTTTAAAAACAGATGTAAAAGAATCACTATCTTCTATTTGACAATATTAGTTTTTAAAAGAATAGAAAATCTAAAATGTGTTTTGTGCTTTCTCTCTAACAAACTTTTAAAAATGCTGCAGATCAAAGGCCACCCCTCAGAGCTGTTTGTCTCACTGTTCTAATGATGTTTACTGCAAGATTTTTCTGTGACTTCGACATTAGATTCTGATAGTTTACATAGAGCTTTATGTTTACGCTGATTGTTTTAATGCAGCGAATAAACAAATGGTATATCATTAGCCTCTAGGTAGACTGGGAGCTTCAGTTACTGGAATTGATCCTCTGGAGGACAACATTAGAACAGCAGAACAGCACAAGTCATTTGATCCAGTTCTAGCCAAGAGAATACAGTACAAACCATGTTCACTGGAGGATATTGTGGAAGAGGCTACAGAAACCTATGATGTAATTATTGCTTCTGAAGTAGTGGAGCATGTGGCTGACCTAGAAACATTTATCAAGTACTGCTATCAAGTATTAAAAGTAAGTGTTTGTTATAATTGTAGGAAATGTTTGTTCCTTCCTTCTTTAATAAGGTTTTTATTTTAAAAGTTAATCAGAGCACATGTAGATCCCAGAGGCCTCGGTGACATCATCACTTAATATTGCAGTAGTACCATGACTCCCATTGGGTTGTGTACAAGGTCAAAACCTAATGAAAAGTTCTTGCCGCCTGATTTTTCCACTGAGGGAGGAAGATCTAACAGCTATGTTGATGGGATAAACTAAGTTTCACTTCTTGTCCAGAACTGCTGTGTAGTGTAACATTGTTGCAGCTGTTAAACAGCGCCTGTGTTCTACTTCACAGATGGCTGCATGTCAGTGGGTAAAGTGATCTTTCTGTACAGTCTGTAAACTGTTTTAAGGTCTTTGAGGATGAACTATGCAATAGAAGTTTATTAATGTGCTTATTTTTACAAGAATGCGGAATATATATTATTTGAAATAGCAAGTCAGCTAGTCAGGACAACGCTCACTTAACGATGGCCCAAAAGAGAGCCCCAAAAAGTAAGCACTGATTGGCTGCACTATTCATTTGGCTGCCCATAAAAGTCCTCTATGCAAACAAGCATTTCCATTAGTAAGTGCCCCACTGATCCCACTCGCTGTAGGAGAAATGTCCTTGGGCAGTTTGTACTCTATGGATTTATGGTGTGGCCAGCAGCCACAGTTAGGTATGAAAATAGCCCAAACTAATCTGCTTGCAGTTGCCGTGGAGAAGAGTGTGTATGTTTGTTTGAATTAAATTGAAGCTTAAAAAATAAGACAAGATATTGTCTTGTGTTTACTATACACATTCTTATACTTGTAATTCATTCTCTGCTCGGGGATCATTTGCATGTATTAATCAGGTATTATCCTTAATTAGCATAGATATTTCTGGGCTTGGTTGCTCTTTTAAGTGATCCAAAACCAGGAAGATGTTGACAGTTTGGTTAAATGTTGAAAAGACTCCTTCTTTACAAAAAGAACATAACATCCTGATTTTTCTATCACCTACCGATGTCTTAAAACATTTATGTATGTGTATCAATTAAAGTAGCTTTAATTCCTGCAGCCCATGGCTTCAAAATGGACAAATTCTGTACTTGAAGTTCAAAAATGAATGATCTTGTACTTTTTCATGTGAAGGGTCCTCACACTTTTTGTTCAATTAAATGTATTGCTAATTGAATATTATTTTAATATTTTTATTAGCCTGAAGGCTCGTTATTCATTACTACAATCAACAAAACACAGTTGTCCTATATATTGGGGATTGTAGTTGCAGAGAGAATAATGGGGATTGTACCAGAAGGCACTCATGACTGGGAGAAGTTTATTTCACCTGAAGAGCTAGAATGCCTGCTAGACTCAAGTAAGTGTCAAATAGAATGACAGGAGTGAATAGAGAGATCCAAGTGTTACTGATTATAATGGCAACTGTCAGGGGACTAGATAGTTAAGATGATTGGTAACCTTGAAGTGAAGAGCTCTGTACTCCTGTTAGCAGCTCAGATTTGGCGTAGGTCAGGCATGGCTAAAAGTCATTACCACATACTGGCTATTCAGCTGAGTGTGTAGAGTTGATGGCCTCAGTTCAATTTCAAGCGTACAGAGGTCACCTAAACAAAACCACCATCACAACTGGGCCCCTTGTTGACAGCCAAAGCATCAAAGATGCAAATTCTTGGACTCTTTTTGAAGACCATAGTGTTTCGTTTCTAAGGGTGAATCCTCTAGGTCAGGGTTGAGATACTTGATGAGCCAGTGTCCAAAGGTTGCACTGCTGCTGCATTGTATAAACTGAGGGCTTTTGTCTTCATCTTTCACTAGCCTTACATTTATTAAAACATTTCATTTAAAAGCTGTCTGAAGTTGAAAGCTGACCACAGACTTTCCAATAAAACTTGAGAGAGTATATTATGGTGGCTGGATCAAAATACTAAGTCACACCAGTGATCCCAGTTTGAATGCTTTTCCTAAAAAACTGATTTCTGAGTTGTTGGGTTTTTCCCTCAGACACTTCTTCTCTACAGAAAGTTAATAAACAAAACAAAAACCCACCACCAAGCCCCTCACTTTTTCTGTAACTCACTGTAAACAAGCCGGTGCCTGAACTCAATCTTTTATCTTGTATCCTGCTGGGCCTGGGATGATGCCGCATCATATGATGAACCTAAGCGATATTAAGAAGGGAGCATAAAATTGCTCTTTATTTACACGGTTTCCTTGATCCATATTCTTCGTTGCCTTATTTTTTTCATTCATAGCTAAATCTCCAGCATCTTCCATAGATACACCTCTACCCAGATATAACATGACCCGATATAAC